AAGTCCCATATTCAAAACCGGAACGAGAACGCAGTGGTTTAGTTTCCTGAACGAACTCTTTTATAAGGAATTGATGTTGCATTGTTGTGGATACTGATAGTGGTGGTGAAAAAGATTCATATCTCTGGACAAAGTGTGAATTCCAACAGATAGTAGACCAAACTGATGAACTATTTATTGCCTACACCCAAAGAAGTGCTCACATTCGACTACCAAATATAAATTTTATTATTATGTAATTAAATTGATTTAGGCATAAAAGCTTTATAAATCCAAAAACCATGGGCTCCTTGGTGACCCCGTGTGATAATAAGAAATTTGGTAGCAGTAGAGTTCCTTGTGAAAGAGTTCCGGTTTTTAAGGGTAAGGGTGTTGGTGAAATCACAGGCACATGGGACTTGTCAACTTACGTCTCAGGGTGACTAGCGCAGTGGCTGTGCCCCTTAGATCTTTGCGATTTAAAGCTGTGAGTGTTTGAGTTATATCACTTACTACCAGGCCCACGACTTGTTCGTACCATTACTTAGTATCATAAAAAATCTATTGAGCTACACAAAACGCAGAAGATAAAAATACCTGCCATTGGAACAGCCAAGTAAATATTTCAAGGTGCAAATAGAGTAGGTTTCATAATAAAGGACCTTAGCCCAATAAAGTTAATGGGTCATGCACGAAAAACAATTGAAAGATACAGTAACAAGCGAGTTTTCAATGTCAACCATTTCAAATAGCATAAGTTTAATCGTGGAAATGTTTACTAAGTGCTTTAATGTATCAATGGACCTACATTTATTATAATAGAATTTATACCTACTACAAGTATATTTTATAGAGTACCAAAATCCTTATACGTTGTCCAGAATTTCGTAATCTTAAGTATTTTTTTTTAATTTGCCTCGAAAAGAGATCGTATTCTCCATGTCGGTTTATAAAGAAGGCCAAGGGAAAATACACTCTTACCCTACGCACTTTAATGTCGTACCTATTTTGTAGTCCATAAGTAAGTTATTTAAATAATTGGTTTCTTACTTTTTTTTATAATACTAAGTGACGGGACGAACATAGCTGTTAATTACAAATAGTGAAGAAAATATAAGCAATAGTGTGTATAAGTTGCACAACAAATATGTACCTATGATTATTCACAAGTACTTGTTGATTTTACAAACAATGTGTTGTTCTAACAAATAAAAAAGTGATCGTAAAGAGTAACCGCGATTACTTACTGCGGCTAACGTTGGCCGCGCAACTAAGCTAACTAACTCAGATAATAAAAATGACAGACATCCTAAATGTTGTAATAAAATAATTTAAAGTGTACTCGACCACATACACACACGCACAAATACCCGACAATTTGTGTTGGTAATTTACAGTAACAGTTTGAATTCTGTGTTCTGTTTGTAGTATACTAATTTATTTTTCTACCCAGTATTGTAAACGTATAATTTTTTCATGCGTAGTGAGTTTTTATTGGCTTTTGTACTGCCTTTATCACATTTGTAAAAGATGTATAAAATGCTGTTGAAACTTTGTTGATTCAATGATAAAAAAAAAAAAAATTTTTGGAAATGAATTTGTTTATTCTGGATCTAAATCGTGTATTTGTATGTTTTTTTTTTTCAAAGAAACCAACGTTTCGGGCTCTTTACAGGTCCCATGGTCATGGCTAACAGAGATTGTAAAACTATCAACCAGTTACGTCTAATATCGTATCTACAAAATAAATTATTTAGATCCGGAAAATATATTCATTTTCAATGTGTAGCAACCGCGAAAATCAGAACTTAACATAATAAAAATACTTACAAAATTCATTAAGTACACAGAAAATGCAACTTGAGCGAAGTTATAAACCAGCAGTAAGAAGTTCAAGTTGTAGGGCTGTCGCTTTTTCATATAATCTGGACCAAGTTTCAGAACGAACACCAAATACGTCACAGTCAGCATTAGGATGGGAACTGGGCTGGACATCAGGAACCACTCATCTACGAAATCCTCTAAAAATAGAGAAAGTAAATTATGACATAGTATATAAAATAAAAAAATACTTTAATTATAATTATCATTTGTTTTTCTTTTTCTTTGCTATTATACCGTGTACTTTTGTACTTTAGATATGAAAATAAAATTAATAATTTACAATAGGTATACGAATGTACAAAACGATACTAAAAAAAAAATTCATGAGGGTATGTAAAACAAAGTTAAACTAAAATTTTTATTTGGAATATGCATCAATATTTTTCGTTAACATTATATTTATTTATTTATACATATGGTTTTATTTGTAATATTTTTTAAACATTTCATATAAATATAAATTTTTTTGTAAATTTAAAAAAAAACGGAACTTACCTTGTCCTTTAAAATTCCAAAAACTATATTTTTGCACAGTTTTATTTAAAATATCCGCAGTAGGTACTTTTTGGAACTCCATTTTCAAAATTAAAAAATAAAATCACTCAATCTATTTGCGTCACTGTTTTCGTTAAACTGGATTCCAAATTTAAAAATTTTATTTAAACTTTATGACCGTTCGTGGCGAAGTCTTTTGTCCGAATGGTTTAGTATGTGATTGGGCGTAAGAAAGAATTGTAAGTTAGCCGCGATGACCGGCAGATTCTTTATAAATCAATGCTCTTGACATTGGCGTCACAGGTTTTACATTAATGCATTTTAATAACAGTTGTTGCAAATTGTTGTATGAATTACTTTGTAAGAAATTTAACAATTTAATCGTTTATTGATCTATAGGCATTAATTTAATAACGTCATAAATATATACAAGGAACCGGATCTTCTGTTTGTTAATCGTTAAATACAACGTATGTAACCTTTATTGTTTGTGGTTAGTAATTAATCCAGAGAATATTAAGTTTTAAGGTTATATGAAATAATTTGTTTTGAAAATAATGTAGTGTTTTTATGTGTCACATCTTTAATTTACGATTGCATGTTTCTCTATAAAGAAAAAATAAACGAATGAATGAATTATCAGGCAGTGAGATAACACCAGGGTGCTACCATAAATATTTACCACTTTGTCGTGTGCCATTAGTGTCCTCAATATATCTGTAAAGTGTAAACAAAGTAAAATATCTTGTCGCTTATGGATTAAGGTACTAAAAAAATATGTGTCTCCATTGTTTAATTTGTGTAATTGAATATACCAGTTAATGTCAAATATAGATTCCATACTTATGTACCAAAGTAACGACCTGGAACTAACCACTACATTCATATTGTATTGCAGACTAGAAAGGTATAAAAGTCAACTAATTGAATTTCCAGGTTGAGTGAAAAACAAAACTTTTTAATTGATTATTTTTTACTCTTAATATTTACAATGGTGACTCCATTGGTTAAGTGAAGTTTCATAGATTTGTCATAGGTGGCGCTACAGCAGTTAAAACTATAAACAGATACCTATAACAAAAGCGCAGAAATATTCGTAAAGTCTGCTGACACAGATTGAAGGGGTTTCAATAACTGACTTTTGTTAGAACTAGCTTTTACGCCCTCGAAATTGGAATCCAATTTTCTCATAAAAATGACACAAAAATTTCGAAAAACATGGCGGAACTCGATCGAAAATAGATTTTGGTATTTCCTAAACGATACGCATAATTTGACCCTCAACGTTCAACATGAAATGAGTGGCTGCATTATAGAGAGCGGAATGTCGCAGACGAAGTTTTACGAAAACAACACATATATAGCAATGGAGTGGTTACATTCTCTTTGAATGCGGCAAAACATTGACTTAAACTTAAAAAAAAAAAGACTAGATAGAGGTCTTAATTCATTCTCATTAAAAGTGTTTAGAGATCAAGCATGTTTTTACTAATTACCGAAAACAGGTTTTTTTTTATTTCCAATGGATTTTTTGCGTTCAGCTTCATTTTCAAATTGAAGTTATAAAATTGACCAGAAAAAATCCATTGGTGTTAAAAAAAAATTAAAAACCGGATTTACAGTTTATTGTAATTGGCAAAAACGTGTGATCCCTAGACACTTCTGATGTTTTGAATACAATTGACAAAAACCCAACGTCTACATTAATAGAGTAGAGATTTTAAAATTTATCGTTTTTTATAATACCAAGTGACGAACTAGTGCATCTCGTGCATCTGGTTGTAAGCGACACGCCTGTCCACGACAGTTGCTATACCACTTTAAACCGCAAATAGTTCAGTGGTACTGCCACTGCGCCCGTCACTCAAAGACATAAGTTGATAAGTGTTATTTGCCTGTAATTTCACCAACACCCTTTAAAACCGGAACACAATAATGCTCACATTACCGCTGGCGGCACAAATAGGTATTATATATTGGTAAGATACTTCCCAGCTACTACATTTATATAGCATCCCTATTGGTACCCAGGTACATTTAAATAGTATTTGAACAAAAATATCACCCATTTGCAAACTAATATTAAAGGTAAACAATTATATAATTTTGCCATTTTAACGACATAACAATCTACAGTGTATTTTTGTCTTTGATGGGATATTTTTAGTAACCGTTACTAAACTTATCGATAATAAAAACAGAACAAAGGTCAGGGAACTCTCAATTTATGTTTTATGTCTTTTTATTTCAATTTGATGCCGGGTTTTGAGTTGTGTGCGAAGCTTTCGTTTGTTCAAGTTGACTTCGTGCCTTTAACTAAGTACTTGATTTAAGTGTAGTCCGAGCACATGTTAATACAAATAAAATGGCCTCTACATAATCTTTCTCGTAAAACATTTCATAGCAACTTTTGGTTCAGTTTTATTTTAGTAGCAGTAGCGTTCCTTATAAAAGAGTTCGTCTAGAGAGGCAGTACTTCTCCAGTAGTACCTTACCTATTTCTGCCGCCTAGCAGTAATGTAAGCATTAGGCTCAATTTATATTGCGGAGGAACGGAATGGAAGCGACTTTTTGTAACGATGTTGTACATAGTGTGAACGTTATGGTCAATCGTGTAACGTGCAAACTAGATTGTGCAGTCTTCAGCGGGAGAATTGCTCGCGCAATTGCGAGGATACCGCAGCTGCCTTCGGTGACGCCTGGCGGATCCGCTGGAAGTGGCGCGAAGGCGTCGACGAAATACTGCAGCAATAGCGCGCCTTCTGTAAATTAAGCCTTATTTCGTTTCGATTTTGAATGATAAGAGTGGTTGGTGAAATTACAGGTACATGGGACTTGTCAACTTATACCTTATGGCGACTCAGATCTTTGCGATTTAAAGCTCTGAGTGCCACTGGAATTGCTATAGACAGGAGTATCCCTTACCAAGCGCACGACTTGTTCATCCATCATACTTGGTATCTTTAAAGAAAAAACTTTTTCTATTTATAAATTTACGAATTTATAATACATGCTATTGATCTCTTTGTAAAATCAAAAACATAGCGATTTTAAGTCCGACAAGTAGTCTAATTTTCAATGTGTAGATAATCTGTACACGGTAACTGGTTATTCAGATGTCTTTCCCGTAATTGACGTATGTACACTATTAAGGCAAAGACAATTATCAACCATCAACCATAATCTGAGCCATTGTTTCAAATCCGAATTAATTTATTAAAACAATAAAAACAACTACGTTCACAACAACAAACTTTAATGGGATTTCGAACCGTATCTGTTATAAGCTGAAGAAAACAAAACATCAAAAGCTACTCAGTGACCAATTTCGAGGCAAAAAAAACAACGAACATTGACGTCATTGCTATGCTTTACGTATTTACTGTGTACTATGCAATATTACGAAGTGTTCTAAAATAAAAACTTATTAAAAATATTGTGTTAAAAATTTGATTTATAACCGACTTTAAAAACAGAAGGAGGTTCTTAATACACGATTACTCCGATGTTAGTGAATCAATTTTGATGATTTTTTTGTTAAAAAGAGGGTACCTCAGTAGCAAAATATTTTTCCTCTGAGCGTGGCAAATGTGGGGACAAAACCAGTTTATTGAATTTCACACACCTTCCGTTAAGAGATTCGAGTAAAACTTTGCAAATAAGTAGAGCAATTCCACATATTTTTGAGGTCGGGTTTTTTTAAATAAAAAAGTATAATTACCTGATTCATAAACTTAACATGATCGCACCTTTTTATAACGACTTGTATTTAACGTGCCGCATATCGATATTACAAGGATGTGACTGTTCAAAAGGGCCATGAAAACAACTTTATGAAACCAAAAATATAATATAACAATTTAATAGTTCTGTAATGTGGACGTACTTGGTCTGTGTGACGTACTCACACTGTAGAAACTGGTAAGTCGTTGAAAATATTCAAAATTTCGCGGTATTGTATAGAATGCGAATAAAAACAAATAATGTAATTCGTTGTACTTTGAACTTATTAAGTACTTATTGTTCACATCATAACCCAAATATTGACTTTTAACAAACAACATTTTGGCATTGATCCACCTATGCCTCCCACCGTTTGAATCGACATTCTAGTTGCTCTGCAAATATGATCACTAACTTCTTCGTTATAAGATTTACAGTAAGATGGAAAGACAACTTTGCTTTAACACGAGTATTTTAGTGTAAATACGGAATAATTACCTTACGTTTCGAAAAATATTTGTTCCTATGGCGTATACTTCAAATTGTCGAAGGCAAAGTGTGATACAGAACTAAAAATGTTGACTGTCAGTACTAAAACGCGGCTGTGATAAAGCGACGCCTTACTTTCTCAAACTCGTATCTTATAAACAGCGATTATTTAGGATATGGCAAAACTTTCCATTTATTTTAAATTTCTTATCAAGGGTGTTGATTTGGATGGATTACTTTAAGAATAGGTAAAAGTCAATATGTGAATATGAAGGAAATGTGATATGAAATCAACCTGCAAAATTTTGTACATATAGTCCATTTTTTTTGCATTTCAGTAACTTTGTGCTTTACGATACGAGTTTGAGAAAGTAAGGCGACGAAATGGGCCAATATCCGTTTTAAATAGCGAAAGATAGAGTCCAAAATTATCTTTTAAAAACAATTAAAACTAATTAAACGTGTTCGACTTTCGGAACTTGCCCTGACGATGCAAAGCTGAAATATCTTTAGAACAATTTCAGTATTCGAAAACTGGGTTATGGTTTTTAATGATATCTCAAAAAATATTTTGTAACTGCCTCCGTGGCCGAACGGTTACCTTGACGGACTGCCACGCAAAGGTCCCAGGTTCAATTCCCGGGCCGGGAGAAATATTTGTTTGGCCTACATTTATTTCACTCGTGAGTTTGGGTGTAATATGTGGTTGTCAATGTGTGTGACCATGGCACCCGCGATATAGGGTTTCCCTAGTGCGGGGCTATGTTGAGTGTGTACGTAATTATTATTACTTAGCGGATAGCAAAATACAAGCCGTGGCAGTCTAACGGTTTGACATATCGCTTCCCAAGCAGAGGTCGTACGACGTCTGAGTTTCTTGGAATTTATGTGTGAATTTAGTTTGAAATTCATCATGAGCTCTTCGGTGAAGGAAAACATTGTGATGAAACTTGCACGTTGAAAAAGGTTCACTATAAACGTGGGAAGTCCCCAACCAGCATTGGATCAGCATGGCGGATTGGATGGCACGGCGGCATCTAACAGACTAGCAGTTCTAGCAGTTCTGGCTCACAGACTACACGTCGCTCAGCGAGCTACGGAAAGGTCTATGCTCTGCAGCATAGACCTTTCCATAGCTCTATAGCATAACACTGAAGTTGTGGATAACATCTGTCGCAGAACCGATGAGCGATGGAGTAGACGGGTTCTCGAGTGGAGACCACGTCTCGGCAAACGTAATGTAGGACGTCACCCTGCAAGATGGACCGACGATCTGAAGAAGGTTGTGTGTAGTGGTTGGATGCGGAAAACGGGTGATCGGACACTATGGCGTACACTTGGGGAGGCTTATGTCCAGCAGTGGACTGCAATAGGCTGATTGATTGATTGACTAGCAGTCCACTAAAATTTTTACATGCATTATATATTTTGATATTCTAGTGGTATTCTAGTGGCAGCGCCCATCAGTTGGCACTGCAACTGCTATGGACAGGCGCGACGTTTACCACCAGGGGTACGACCTGTTCGCCTCGTCATTAGATATCGTAAAAAAGACTAAGAAATGTAATAAACACTATTTATTTACACGTATGCGCTGCGATGTAATAAACTTTGGAATATTAGGGGTCTGGTGCACGAAAACAACAGCCCGCAGGACATACCATTCTTCTCCTGCAAGTCTGGCGCACTCTGAGCGACGATCGGTGAGTACCTTACGCTACAACGCGATGGCAAGATGAGAGTATGCCATTGTTACGATAACAAGAAGAAGACTAGGGGCCTATTACAACATTCGAAATACCAACGATAGTCGTTTCGATACCGGACCCGATTTCGGCCGAAAATCGACTTATTTTTATTGTCGACAAATTATCGTATTTTGTAGCAGACCTCGTGTAAACGAATGGTCAAACTAATATTATAAATACGAAAGTTGCTTTGTCTGTTACGATTTTACGCCTAAACCGCTGAATCAATTTTCAGAAGAGATAGATAGGACCTAGGAGAAGGACACAGGCTACCGTTTAGGAATGGAAATTTGTAAGGAGAACCAATCATTTCTCAAGTAAGTTGTGCAGTACCTAGACATGAAGTAGTTATTCTAAGCAGACAAAGTCGCGGGGACCAGCTAAAAAGTCACTCAATTCGATTTTGATGAATAGATTGACGACATTCTAGTGCATATCAATTCGTGCAAACGTAGTTCATAGGCCAATACGTATTAGCATAACAAACAACTTTTATGTCATTGACAAATATTCTATATAAACATAGTGTTTAGTCAGATATATAACACACAAAAGTGGAACATATTTAGTTTTATTCAATGTACGATCATATTTGTTGAATAAATTTTACACCTCGAAAACGCCTGAAAGAGCTATTCCTGGTTATGAAAGAGCTTATGAAGAGAAACCTTCCAATCACACTCAAGCGAGCATTCGTCGACGTGATTATTCTGCGCATCGTTACCTACAAGTACGCAAATATGCTCATTGACCGACAATCAAAAGTAGAAGATCAAGGTTTGCCAAAGAGCAATTGAACGCATGCTGCAAATTAGGTGTAAAGAGGGTGGATAGAATGCGGAACACTACTCTGCGCTCAATGACACGCGTAGTCGATGTGGGCTGGACACGCCTGTCGTATTCACCTATAGTGTTGGGCTCACACAGTCCGAGAACGCTCGCGATGCAAAGCAGATCAAGAAGATGGCGGGATAACTTGGACACGTCCTAAAAGTAACCGTGAAAAGTGCAAGTCGAGAGGAAGGATCAGCAGGGGGGTCACAATATGCTTTGACGATGCTGACCTCCTTTACCGTCATCCCACCTTTTTATCGGGTTTACGAGGGTCCTTTACTGGTTCCTGGCCACTTACTTTTGAATCGTTCTCGAATTCCTTCGACTCTTCCATTCCACTATTCTTACGTTGATTCACCAATCCCATCAAATTTCTCAAAATGCTCATAAATCACCATCGTGTAAAACTCAAACTTCACGTGATTTACTGTTTTTAAATCATATAGATATAAGTATATATAATCCCTTTTGAGGTATGTATGGTCTGGGGTGTTTTATACCAATTGTTCTTTTTATATAATTTGATTATTTTATTGTTACAGCTGTTTCTTTTCAACTTGTAAATAGATTATGTGGACCTCTCCTTTCTTTCGCTAAATGTAGGCCACAAGGCTATTTAAAAAATGCACCTTTATTCCTAGCATGGGCAATAGCGTATTTTTTTAGGTTAGTTTCCTCTATCTAATTTCGGTGGCTTTTTATTTTTTAAATGTTCTAGAACATTATCATGAATATTATTTAATATTTCTAATGTAGTATCCTGCAATATTATTTAATATTTCCCGACAATATACTCGAATACTTAAATAATAAATATTGACACCGAAATAAGATAGAGAAAATTAACCTTAAAATTACCCATTAAAACATATATACCATCGTCTTTAGATTTACAGACAGAGCAACGCATTTATTAAGAATACATAGGCGTGAGTGTAAGAAAGACAAATGTATAAACTATTTATTGT